ATGTCTAAATTCAATTAAACTAGCAATTCCGTATTATATTTATAAATCTTTATAACATTATACAAAAATTAGATTTTTCTTAAAAACTGAAATTTTGCCGGGAATGGGGCTTTAAGTGTACTGTGCAACTACACAAACATTGGCCCACAATATCAATGGTAAGAAAGATCATGTGGAAGAAATGATAGATACTGCAAGGCCAAGCTATTGAATGATGTATACTGCCAGGCCTTCGGTCAGTCGGTCGGCCGGCCAACATGATTGACTCTATTCAGTATGACCTAGTTTTCTAGCTTCATCTCATTACGTGTTTAATAGCATATACTACTGTTAAGAGGCTTCAATCACACTTTACAGGTTAAAAAGCACTTATTCCATTAAGTATAATTAATACTGTCTACATAGAAATAAAAAACAAATCTTATTTAATTTAAAACATTGTTAATTTTCATAATTTCTAAAAATTACTAATGTCGCAAAAGAATAAAACTGTAATATATCAAGAACCAAGCCTGTTCTATTTTTTTTTTTTTTTAATATTAATTTAATTAAGGGCATATAATAGTACTGGTAGGAAAGTCCCTGGTATTTAGGGTCAAGTAAATTAATGATGCATTGTTTGCTCCATGGTCTAAAACAAATCTTAAAAATTTACCAGTAATGCCTAAATCTTGTGACATCGTCTCTTACAAGTTACAAACAACTTTGTGGCATATCATTTAATTTCAATTCTAATTTCACAGCAAAAAATACATTGCTCATTTAATATTGCAAAATTTTCAAAAATAAATTCAAATCAATAACATTAACAATAAAGACAAGTTTCCCTATTTTTTATTCATAGAATCCGCAAATTACAAGGCTCAAAAGCCACTTTGGGTATAGGCCAGAAAAGGAAAAAAAACACTAACACAGCGAGGGACACTGGATTAAATTAAAATTATCACAAATATACTGGTTACACTGGAAATATGATCTGTAACAGAGTACCACAAAGGATTCAAAATTACTGGTCAATGCTCCATAATAATGAAAGATGTTTGACCTGAATAGAGAATAGCTGTCCAAAAGCATTTCATTTACAGCAAAAAAAAGAATGTTAAAACAATAAATATATTAGAAATCAATATTATCATCAAAATCAAAATTAGTGTTAATTGTTATTGAGTCATGACTCACATGCTGTTGGAGGAGACTTGATAGAAAAATATACCAGACAATTATGAAAACAAAATTATTCAATTTATCACTACCAGAAAGTTTCTTCAAAGTTACACTGTATCCATTTATGATGAGTTTATGATGAAAAAAATTTGCTGTAACTCTCGCAATTATAATGAGAAAATATTTTCTCACCAATTAAATTACATATTATAAATACTGTAAGTCCGTTTACCGTGTTCCTCTTCTTTAACGTATTCTATTTTTCTAGTTTAGCACATACAGTATTTTTTCCAATTGTTATTCTTCGTCCAAGTTTCAACCAATGAAAATTTCGTTGAAAAAGTACTATGATGCGTACTTTACTTCAAGCATGCATGACGTGAATGTTTATTTTAGGACCATAGCACTGTAAGTATTTTCCAAATTTTCATCATTAACGATTTTACAATAAGCTGCTTCGTAGCTTCATGCACGCAATGACTGTGGTAGGCCAAGGTATATAAACAATCACACAACAGCTGGCGCGACTTATACGATCGTCTGCATTTTATAGAACGTTATTACCGCTAATAAGGGATATGGAAGCCGAACCACTCTTCAGACTATGTATATCATAGCTCAACTTGACCTTAAGAATAAGAATAAGGTCAGTGCGTGCATGAAACCATGAGATGGTTGCTTCAGGGTCAACATATTTTCATGATCCATCATACATGCTCCAATGGATACCAATTGTGATGAACTGATGAAATTATCGTTATATGATTATTATTGTTAACATTATTATTAGCTGTTACTACTATTATTATAATTATAATTATCATAGTTAGCATTATCATTACCATTATTCGTACCGTTTTCGTATTTTATGTTTTAGTTCTTTTTGTTACCAGACCGAATTTCATTGTATGTGTATTGTACATGTATATATGACAAATAAATCTATTGAGTATTAAGTATTGAGTATTATTACTATAATTATTATTGTTAATATTATAACCATTATTACAATTATTATCATATTATTCTAAATAAGCACATAGGCGTTTTCTCCAATGTCCTTGTTTCCAACACTCAAAACCATCTGTAATCACTAGACTTCTATTATCTCTTATCAAAAAGATTTTTAAACTTTTCTATCCCAATAAAATGAGTATGTTAATCTCAAAATGTGTTTGTGTATGGTACCTTAGAATAAAATTTGTTGGTACATGTTAATTATACGCAGAAAAATACAGGATACTTATCTACATCTAAATATGAAAATAAGAATTCTGGAGTCTTTAATCACATTACACATTTTTGCACAGCATACTAAAAAATAATCACTTTCTTTCCTCTGCATAGCTCAATGGACTATCCTTTACCCTGCATTACTCTAATTAAAATTTAACAACAAAAAAACAAAAAAAAACAACAAACAAATAAGGAAGTTAATCTCAAAATTTGTTTATGTATTTTGTGAATAAATAAAGATTTTTTTTTATTTGGTAGCTCAGAGATTAACATTTGTTGACGCATGATAATTATGCACAAAAACATAGGATATATACTTATTCAAATATACGCCGTGGCTAGAGATACTGTACCGTATTTCTACTTCAATTTTCTATAGGTACGGTAAATGGTATTACGTCACCATCACCCAATGAAGTGCCAGAATGTGTGTGACATCATTTTTCAAGACTGGCATTGCATTGCAGATCACCCGCGATGAGCGGTGAAACGAGAATGATGTACAGTTCTGGGAAACTAGAACATCAAAAAGTACAATATTGTTTGACTTAGTACTGTTATCGATAAATAGGCTTATGGTTCCATTTAGTAAAGAGTTTCATTTAGCTAGGCCTATGTATAACCATTATCAAACAAGGACTGATTCCACCAAACTCTTGGCATGCCTCTAGGCCTTGCTTAAATTCTTCGCTTGGCGAAAAATCTACTGCTAGGCCTTGCTTGGATTCTGCTTTTCACGGCAGCTGCTCTGATGACATTGATCTAAGTGGCATAGGCCTATATCAGTCATAAACTTAGCCTAGTTCCTCCGTCACCATACCGTCTCAACTTCATAATCCCTACATCCCAAGTTTTAGTCCAAGAAGTTCGAAATAATACCACGCTTTACAATCCCACCAAAATATTCATACAATTTGAATGCACAAAACTTTTCGTAGGGCTAGACTTCGTCCCTGTTATGGTACAGAATGTAGGCCTAGATCGAGAGAATAAGTTTCCCCTTTGTGATTATTACAATTGAGTCAAATTTTTCCAATAATTTTGATGCAGACCTTAATACTGGTCTACCACTCAATAATAAAGTCATGTCATGATATAGCCTTATCAAGCAAGGCATCATCCTCAGGACTTAGGCCAAGGCACATGTATACACAC